GCCTCTGGTGCAGAACGCAAACTGAAGGCACGTACTACTTCCAATAAAACGTATTGGCTGCATGTGAGTCGAATTTTCGGCTGTTACCCAGTTCACTATCAGTCCGATCCGAGTAAGACCGTCTACCGTATGACGATGCTCTAAGTACCATGACTTATATTTCCGATGGCTCAAGCTGAACAGAAGTTCCTTTGTTACCCATCAGACGAAAGTGTTTAATAAATATATCACATCCGTAAATATGCTTTGAATGTTTATTGTGAATATACTTTTCCGCCGCTTATGTTTTGCGTTCTACTTTCACCTTTTTGATGAGGTAGAGTTGCTATACCGGAGGAAAGTACATACCATATTGGGACACTGAGTTACCGCACCATTATTGTTGTCCTTTATTTTTGTCGCTCTGATAACTATTTGTTGTTTTTCTCTTGCACTGGCCATTCGTACCCTTCCACCTCCTAGGTTTTGGTCATTGATCCTCGATCTCCTCAAAGTATTGTCCGTTCGTTAGACGCGCACACTGGTGAAATCTCGGACATCACTGTTGTCCCACACGGTTACACTTTGGTCACGTGCGGTTGGTCCCGTGTAGGTGATGCCGGCTTGAGAGTGGATCGATTGCTCAAGGTATGAGGGAAAATCAGTTCAACTTTTCATGCACACTCTTATTTTTCGCCAAGACTTTTGATCAATATGAGCTTCTCTTGACTAGCCCCCAACAATTGGATGGAGAACACGTCTGAGAGAACGACAGTCAGAGTATATTCTTGATCATGAAGCAATACGCAAAAATAGGTGGTGAATTAGGCGTACGAGAAAAGACGTGGTGACGCACCAATCAGGTTGCGACCTTGATACTCCAATTGGTCTATCCGACAATAGCTGTCTGATTCGTCTTAGTCATCCAATCCGGAATCGATTCGGCTTTGGCGTCACGAACGTACTCGTGGTGTGACGCGGGTCGATGCGTGGCCCGATGGGTTCTGTGCCCTCCCTCCTAACACATCTAATTTTCTACTCTGCTTTTCAGGCAGTGTAGTAGGAAGGCATTTTATTTAATGTTTAAATCAAACGGCTGCTCTCACTACAGTCAGTTGCAACTTGCTGCCCCAAGGGATGCTTATTGATCATGTTCGGTCATTTGTAATATCTCGTTGACGGTGTTTTTTGTTTTGTTTGGGAGTGCTTCTTGGTCACATATGCTTATCACAATGATTTATGCTGGCAGATGATAGTGAAGCACTTGCAATTCCCCCAGAAAGACCAAATCTAGACGGTCACCGGTTTGATTGGATAGTGAGTGGGGCACCCTAGACGTGACGCGTAATCCAATGGACTGGATACTGACCTCTCCAGTGAATTGCGGGTTCAACACACTGCCCTTCTACCTTGTAAATTGAACGGGTCTGTCAAACAATGCGGACGAGCGAGGTCCCTCAAGTTAACTTCATACTCTAGTGTGGTCGAGCTGCTAAGTAGCTGTACAACAGCTGGCAATATCGTCCGAATATAAACAATCGCGAACATGGAATCCCTAGCTATATTCATAGGAATTTCCTCCTACCTTAGTAGTACTTGGCAGCCTGTTTTTCATTGATTACTGAGTAAAAATAAAATGATAAATTGAAGTAGTCATGGGTTGTGTGTGTTTGTGCTCAATCCAAGTGGCAAGGGTATCTCATCGAAATCTACGAACTGTAGATAATGCTAATTTAGAAGGTTGTCATCTAAGTATGACAGTATGACCATTTTCTTTCTCTTAGTATTCTTATTTTCTCCGAAAGCCTCAGTATGGTCGGGAGTGGGTGTCTAGGGTTGCGGCTGGTCATCATTCCCTTGCACCTCGCGAAATGACCCCACACGACTAAGCGTCTCAAATAGCCTCTACTGAGGAAGCCTTCCCGCGGCGGACTTGTTTTCCGACCAAAGAGGGAGGACGAAAAGCCGATATCGGGGACTATAACCGGGTTGATGGACCACTGGTAGTCCACCTAGGGGAGTTGGCCAAAAACCCTGATTGCAAACCAACCGTGAAGAGGCGTACGAACACACGACATACAACTTCATGTTTGTATCAGTAGTCACCGGCTGGATTGGGCATTGAGGTGTATTGGGCACCTTGGACGTTTGACCCCGTCCAAAGGGCGTATGATCCGCTGAACTGGACACCGGCCCCAATGGATTGCGGTTTTCACACACCGCCCCGCTGACCTGCGTGTTAGACTTTGGCTAGCTGAAGGTTCCGGTTGTGGATTCCTCAAGAGAATTCGCCTGCCTTATTCCGGACAACCTGGCAGTATTCCGCCCACATGCAAATCATGGAACGTTTTTCTTTTTCATAAAGATTATTGTAGCATGATTTGTTTAGCACACAGTCTGTATTCACACATGTGTAAAGATATATATATACCTCCATTTTCTGCAATTTTGTTGGCTGCCAATTATGCGGACAGGTGCTTCATTATATTCTCTTCTGGTGGTGAGTGTTCCCACTCGCTGGAAGAAAACCTGAATAGCTGGTCTTTGTCTCGATCTCTTGCGCCTAAAATTATTACATGATTCGCTTTTTTCTCGGCACTAGCTTCGATTTTTTGTCACACATTTGTGTGATGAACGGCAGACAGGGCGGACCCCGTAGTCGCGAAGATCTACTGTTCAGTGATGGCAACCAGTAACTTAAGCCCCAAGACCTGGAGTGGCGAGCCACATAAGACCCTTCTAGGTTAGGCGTGGTACCGGATGACTGTAAAGCTGCCTATCACCAAAGTTAGGTGGCGGTGACTGGGATCCGTGGCTTTAGATTAGTTTTCAACCGATATACATATCGTTCCTGTAGGTCCCCATACTTTTCCTGGAGCATTATTAAAGGATTCTGATCTACATATACTCGATTCAGTATGAGAACACATATTCAGAGACAAACAGTTGTCCCCTGTGCTTCGTCTATCAGCCAGACGCATTATAAATGAAAGCCGCTCGTTTGCGCGTGTTAGTCTTTTAGTCGGTTCAAGGTCATAGTGTTTGGTCAGGAATGAAAGTACGGGGGGAGGGGGGCAGTAGATCGTTATTCACATACCCCGTGACAGAACATCTGAATTGCGTTGCTTCACTTGTGTGTGTGTGTGTGTGTGGCTCTAATATGCGGTTATGGTAGTTCGATGGCTTTGGTTAACTACCGTTGCGCACATACGGTGTATGAAAAACAAGAATACTTATCACCACCGCAGTGACTAGGATGTGAAAATAAGTGAGGCGATATTCGATATGCATAAGGTCTTCCAGGCTTTTCTCTCTCTCGCCACAGTGTAATTGGGGTTGATTTTATTAACCGTCNGTTTAAATGCACTCTGCTGTTTTTGATTGCTTTGTTGATGGTGTATCGTGCTTGCAGTCTTGTTCAACGTGTGACCTCGTGCATTACTCAAAATTCATCCTTTGTTCGCATAAAACTAGACTTAGGTCCAGTCACCACAGTTTGATTTCGTTTGTACTCAATACTGCTTGTGTTTCATCCTCGTAACTTCCTAACCAGGTTTACGATCTGCGATCCGGACGTGCCCAAATTCCCTTGTCCACCTCTTTGGACCCGTGTTTCACGCGATTCTTCCCAGGATGCACGGATCGCTTGTTCGTGGCCTCGCAAACCGGTGCATTCCAAAGTATCCAATGGGGCAGTCCCTCATTCTCTCCAGATGACTTGGGTCAATTGTGGCTCACTTACGATCGCGTTGTGGCCATGGATATCTCGCACAGGTATAGTCACGAGTTATTTGGACGAATGCCCTCACCGTATGTTTCAGTGGGTCGCCTGTGAAATCTGCAACCCATCTGTTTCGGTTAAGTTGTCTGAATTTTGCTTCTTCATTTGTTCAACTTCCCTCGTTAGCCCATTCATCCTGTACTTAATTCACCCCCCTCCCCATTGTTTCCTTTTCATGCTCAAGTGGCAACTGTGCTATCTTCGGTACGGAAAACGGTCAGATGCAATTGTACGTGCGCGACATCAACATGTGTCAATTCAATGTCAACCCAATGCCAACGGAATTCGCTTCTCCACTAGCCGAAAGTCTGTTGGTTACCAACGGTCTAGGTACTTCCGTACCACCAGCCTATGCCTTCTGGGATGATCCTAATCTGACCACCGGGCAACCGGGCTATCAGGGTAACACGTTGGCTATGCTTGGTCGAGCGGCAGCCGAGGCGGTCGGACTGCAACTATTGGCTGCCTCATTACATCAACCTGCGGCCACTTCTTCGGACAAACTATCCACACCAGAATTGGTCGAGCTGGTGGAACGAAAGAAAGCAGAGGCGGCAAATGAAGCGGTTCTCGTCGCGTACAAACCAGTCGAGTACGATGACTATCGGTTCTCATCTGCCAGCGTTCCATTCGCATTCCAACCTCCCCCGATCGAGACGGAAAATACGACTGGAGCTAACGGATCTGAATCGACCAGTTATCGAAGTCCACGCAAAGAAGATCAAATGACTTCATCGGATTGGCCGGAAGATTTGTGTCCTGTCCGACCGCGGTATGTTTAAATGATCCTTTTTGTCATTAACTGTCTGTACGTGACAACGATAGATCTGATTTCCTTGATCATGCATTCAACGTACGTCACACACAGAGGCGCGCATATAAAGCGAGTTGTCACAATCTTTCTTCATCACTGTCAGCCGTGAATCTAGTCGAATCAAAGTCGATCACATCTCGTAAGTAATTGTATCGATGATCGAAGTCACTTTAAATTTTCGCCCCGTTTATAAACATGAAACACGGAAATATGTGTTTCACCCTGCCCACCCACCTCCCTTTATACAAAGCTCAAATCCGCCCATGCTTGAACACTGGCTCTACTATGGGATGGAGCTTCGTATTCCACCCTTTCTCTTCTTCATCCTGTTCAACGTAAGGCCATCGGGGTGATCAGTGAACCGTCTACACGTTTAAATCTGCAGCCGCTTTCCCATTGTCCATCAACTACTTGGTTACCTCTCTTGCACCGCTACTTCTTTGGTTTCTGCCTTTCTGAACTCGCTTCATCGGTCTCTTTTCCCAGTTCTTTTCCCGTTTGAAGAAGGTTATGTACTTATATCTGGCCAGTTAGGCTGTTTGTTCTGTGTTGGTTACGCCAGTTCGCTCTGTTTTCCTTCTCTCCACCAGGCCCACTATCTTTCATTGATAACGTGGATAATGATTATCTTATGGATCGTGTTATCGCATTTGTTTTGCTTATGTAGCAGGATAACTCCGTCAGTTAGCTCTATTCTCACTCCTCTTTGTTTTCCCTCTTCTCATCCAGTATCATGCTCCCGGTTGATCCGGAACTGATAGTCAGTGCTAATCGAAAACGTGCTGTTCGGAAACCGGCCCATTGGGGAACTGTGTGGCATCCTTATCCACCTCTCGGTCAAGATGATTCGAACCTGGACGATGAGGACTCCCTGGGGCGTTTCGTGGATGTGCCCCGAGTGTTGGAATCGCAAGCCACGTGAAAATGCTGTTCCCGTGGGG